TTTGATTTTTGACAAAAATGCAAACACCTTTCAGTGGAAAAAACAGTGTTCATTTTAATAAACAACACTAGAAAAATTGAATCCATCTGAAATACTTAAACCTCAATTCATGCCTTCTACTCTAATCAATTCAAAATGGATCATAAATTTAAACATAGAATGTTAAACTATATAATTAACTGAAGAAAACATAAGAGAAAATCTTTCTGACCTGGGATTAAGCAAGAGATCTTAAATATGTTATAAAAAAACACAATCCATTAAAAAAAGTTTTTAAATTGAACTTCTCAGAAATTGACATGTTCAGAATATTAAAACCCCAACCAAATGTGGAAATACTTGCCCATCATTCTTCCCCCCAAAAAATATATAGAATATACAAAGAACTCCCAAAACTCAATAGTAAGAACAACCTAATTAACAGATGTGCAAAAACCTGAATATGTATTTTGCTAACTAAAAGGGATATACCGAAATCAAACAATCATGTGAAAGATGCTCATCATTATTACCCATTATTAAAATGCAAACTAAAACCACAATGAGATTAAGCTGTGCATATATTTTAGTAGCTAAAATTAAAATAAAATAAATGACTCAAAATTGGTGAATAAATATATAACCCTTGAAAATGAGAGCTTTTCAAAACACAGGCCATGATGTTTCTGAAATCTGTTTTCTGTCTCTCTGTTCGTTAATCTTCATGGATATTTAAATCTCCTGCTCCCTTTAGCTAGACCTAATATTCCCTCTACTGTATTTTGTGAATGTGTGTCTATGTGTGTTTGTTTGTAAGGGGTGTTATAGAAAATTATTCTCTTATTTTATAATTACTACATTGCAAGAAGCCACAATTAACCTGAAGATATCTTTGGCTGGGAACTGGACACCATAACTCCTTAGCATTTTAGGTTTGGAAAACTGAGGTTCAGAATTAATGATAGTCATAGAGTCTTAGCTGGTCGCATGACAGTACCTAGAGAAATATTTTCTAGCTTCTTCCCAGCTCAGGGAGGGAAGGTCTTGTGACTAAATTTGACATAAGGGATTATGCCTGGAAATTCTGCATGCTGTTTCTTCCAGTTCGCACATTCTAAAAAGGAATAAGTGAGCACTCCCCTTCAGCCCTGTCCCCCCTTTCTGTCCTGTGGGAGATGATGATGCTACCTGGCTAACGTGGACATGAAGATGGCGAGTTCACATTGAAGGTGACATAACTGCCCCAACAACCCTAGACTTCTTACCTCTGAATTCTTAATGACAGAGAAATAAACTTCTCTTTAATGTAAGACACTGTGCACTTGCACCTTTATTATAACATCTTAGTTTACATTATGTCATATGTAATTATAAATTTCTGATTTAACAACACTTACATTTCTCAATGATCACAAAAAAAGTAAGAGAGTAAAAAATTTAGAGAAGGAGTGGCATGGCCAAATGTGGTTTTGGTTACTGTACCAAATTCCTTGACTGGCAGGCAGAATGGATTAGTTCAATTAGAAAGTGACACAGAAAAAGAGCTGATCCCAAGGGAAAAGAATATTTCCTTCTTAAAGAGCACTAGGTGTGACAGTAGAACATATTTTAGAAAGTGGTTAACTTCTGTTTCAAATAAAAGTAAATTACCTGTCAAAAATACAGTCCTCATGCTCTCTCTTTCAACCAATAAAGGTAAGCATTATATTTAACCTCAATCCAAACAGGTAAGCATGAATTTTTGGCTAATACCAAATTTAGTTTACTAACAACCATATTTTTTTGGCATCAGCAAAGAACACTTATTTACAGAAAATTTAAAAAGGAATCCTTTGTTGTTATTGTTACTCTGGTTTATTTCAAAACACTGATTCAGAAAGCCTGTTAATTTTTCTGACTCTCATTATTATAATGTAAAAGAAAATACAAAGTATTTTGTAATGTAATATATATAAATATATCAGAGATTACTGACATCTGCATTATCATCAAGATAATCATCACTGTCACCATCTTTGGTGCTAACATGGGTAACTACTATGTGTTAAGCATGTATTTAAGTAGTTTGCATGTATTAAATCTGGAGATCATGTCTCCTGAAAATTTAATTATATGTAACTATGGAACAAGATAGTGAATGGACCTTATTGAAATGGGTTTGCATCCTATTAATACCAAGGGTATTCTTTGCTTGTTAAATCTTAGGGTCCATGATAAATGAATCTAAAGACGTTAAAGAGATATTGGCATGTTTTCATTTTTATCTTTAGAGACGTCTAAAGGAAAGGCCTTTTTAATTGCAATCACCAAAATCTGATTTTTTATTTCTTATCTTCAATTTGCTTTTATAAACTTGCTCTGAATATAAGCATTTTATACATCAAGATGATAGTTGTCATTGATATCCCAATCTCCACACCAAAAAAAAAATCATTATTTCAGTGGGAAGACCAGAGGAACAAACAGAAAATATGTGAATAAAAACAGAATTCACTACATTTACCTGCATTATATAGTGGCTTTCTTTCTGAATTGTAAAAATAGAGCATCTAAAGTTTTCCAGAAGTCAGAAAAACAGGGACAATGCTGGAAGATGTGAGGAAGCTTTTTTTTGGTGAGGTCATGTTTAGAAGGTAAGCACATGATTCTGTTAGTATTTGAATATTTTTAATCATTATTAAATATTAATTATTAAATCCTTTCTAACTTTATAAATGGTTTTACACTGAGAATTCATTGAATGTTCCATTTTAAAATAAAAAGTTGAGGTCAAGAAAAAAAATCTTAGTAAATGTAGAACATTATATTATTTTTTAAATTTATTTATTTATTTATTTATTTATTTATTTATTTATTTATTTATTTATTAGATTGAGAGCATGGGTAGGAGAGGCAAAGGGGTAAGGAGAGGGAGAGAAGACCAAAGAATGAGAGAAGAGCTTACATGAAGACCAGATCCAATAATGAGAATAAAGAGAATGCCAGTTTCTGAGAGCAACAGTTTACACATCAAATGTGGTGCATGAGGCATGCTAGTCTAGAAAGATGCAGTGATTCATTCAACAAACAATTTGAATAATTGTCCAAATATTGGACTCTATGTTGAATTAAATAAGTGAATAAAACATGGCTAAAGGTGTGTAGGATGGTGTACAAGACTACACAGCCTTAGTTGTGTAGTCTTGAACATCACCTATCAGCTACTAGTTTCTGACCATCTTAGAGACCCAGTTATAGCATTTTCACATTCCCTGTGATCAAATTTCCATTGGGAGAATTTTATCGTAATGGGGCAAGGTTCAAATACCTTTATTTAATATGTAGTTTGGAATGTTATAGATTGTAAAAGAAATTGTCATTTAATTTTCCTTTTCTAAGCCACAGAAAATCCTCAGGTTGTTGAAGTTTTGCATGGACTGTTGTTCCTGCCCCATTTCTGTCCACTTTTCTGTAGCTGAAATTTTGACCATTGCCCATATTTAACACCCTTAGAATATGGTAATAGGCATATCTTTTCTTTGCAGTGAGTTAGTCTCTATGGGTTTTCTAATACAGAAGTTATCTAGGACATACTGAAAACAATGAAACAATTTGCTACTTCTGCAAGAGTGAATGAAAAGAGTATAATTTATACACACACACACCACAGAAGGCATGCTTGATCTACACAAGGAGGGAGAGAGGCAGGGGAGGTCTGCATTTTGGGTAGGGACCCATTAAGACTATTCCAAAGAAACAACCAATTTGGTGCATTTGTAATTCAGTCAGGAAGTTAGTAAATCAAATTTTGTGGAACAAATATACTATGCAATGCATAGGAAGATGTAGAGAGTATCAAGTAAGTTTATAATCTAGTTATAACAATTAGAAAAGTACATAAGAAAGATGAGTAATTCACGCTGATATACTCATGTGCATGAACATAGACATGTGTGTGAGGAAAAGACTGAATGGATTAAATGGAATAAAAGCAATTATTAAGGATGTGGGCAATTTAAGAACATCTCAGAGATGAGTTTTGGTTGATATTTCTTATATATGGCGTGTACATTGTAATTGGGTTTGCTTTCTTGAACATAAATACTAGATGAAACAGCCTCTTAACCTCTTGAGTATTTCAGGACATAGACCACCTTAGACTTCCTTTTCTCCCCTCTGCAAAACCTGAAAAAAAAAATAACTGCTGATTTCATGGATCTATCACTGAAATACACAGTTTTAAAGATTAAGTAACACTCCATAACATTTAGTGTTTAGCTCATCAATTTTGTTTTATAGTAAAATAGCTTAAGTATGCAGAATGTCAAGGCTTAAAGAGACTTAGAAATACCGCAAAAACCCATTTAAAAAATGAACCATGGGGCCCCTGAGTGGCTCAGTTGTTAAGCGTCAGCCTTCGGCTCAGGTCATGATCCTAGGGTCCTGGGATCGAGCCCCACATCGGGCTCCCTGCTCAGCGGGAAGCCTGCTTCTCCCTCTCCCACTCCCCCTGCTTGTGTTCCCTCTCTCGCTGTCTCTCTCTCTGTCAAATAAATAAATAAAATCTTTAAAAAAATAAAAAAAATAAAAAATGAACCATATTCAAGCCCTAAAGCCAATTTAGGTGGCTTACAAAATATTTATTTGGGGGATGAAATTAATTTTGAATTGATTATACTAGAAAACAGAATTGAGAGGTGAGGAGAAAACATGGCAAGTGAAAGAATGGAATCATTGTCACAACTGAACGTACACTCAGATTTTGGAATTTTGAGTGTTCATTTGGATAGCAAAATGACAATCACTTATCTTCAGAAGCAAAGAAACATGATAATTCATAGCACACAAAAAAGCTATTGGATTTTTTTCTTACAAGTACATGTAATACTAATGAAAAATACACGTTTAGAGCACTGGCAGTTATAGATTTGTTTTAATAGGGAATGGGACAAATTGGCAGGCATGCCATCCCATTTGTATATAAGAAGACAAAAGCCAAAGAAATCAGAGTAACTTGGACTTCTGATTCAATCGTTCCACAGATGACATGTGAAGAGATGAGAGCAGAAGACAATGCTTCCACAATAATACAATTTGTGCTCTTGGGATTTTCTGACCGTCCAAACCTCCAAGGGTTACTATTTGGGATGTTCTCCATCATTTACGTTGTTATCTTAATTGGAAATAGCCTGATAATAATAATAACCAGGTCTGATGCTGCATTACAGACACCCATGTATTTTTTCCCGGAGAATTTTTCCTCCTTGGAAATCTGTTACGTGTCTGTCACCCTCCCTAGGATTCTGGTGAACCTTTCTACTCAAGACAGAAACATTTCCTGGTTGGGCTGTGCCTCCCAAATGGGCTTCTTCCTTATGCTTAGAGCCACTGAATGTTTCCTCCTGGTGGTGATGGCCTATGACCGCTACGTGGCCATATGTAACCCTCTGCACTACCCTCTAGTCATGAACCGCAAGATGTGTATCCAGTTAGCTGTTGGCTCCTGGCTCGGTGGAATTCCAGTCCAGATAGGGCAAACATGTCAGATTTTCTCTCTGCATTTCTGTAATTCTAACCAAATTAACCACTTCTTCTGCGACATACCCCCCATCCTCAAGCTAGCCTGTGCGGATACTTTTGTGCATGAGATAGCAGTCTACATAGTAGCTATGTTGTTCGTTGCAGTTCCTTTTATGTCGATACTTACCTCTTACAGCAAAATCATTTCCACCATCCTGAGGTTGCCAACAGCCAGGGGACGGGCCAAAGCTTTCTCCACCTGTTCTTCCATTTTGCTGGTTGTTCTTTTATTCTTTGGATCGGCTACCATCACCTACTTAAGGCCCAAATTCAGTCATACTGCAGGAATTGACAAACTGCTCTCTCTTTTCTACACCATAGTGACTCCGATGTTTAACCCCATGATATACAGTCTTAGGAACAAGGATGTGATTGCAGCACTGAAAAGGCTATTACTTAAAAAGATAGTGTGATGAGTTTAATTGTAAATGCTTTACCTGTTTGCCACACATTTATCAGAGAGAAATTTCAAATTTCTATATTCCTCTTTAAGAAATTGAAAATAGAGCTACCATACGACCCAGCAATTGCACTACAGGGTATTTACCCCAAAGATACAAATGTAGGGATCCAAAGGGGTACGTGCACCCCAATGTTTATAGCAGCAATGTCCACAATAGCCAAACTATGGAAAGAGCCAGGATGTCCATCAACAGATGAATGGATAAAGAAGATGTGGTATATATATACAATGGAATATTATGCAGCCATCAAAAGGAATGAAATCTTGCCATTTGCAATGACATGGTTGGGGCTGGAGGGTATTATGTTGAGTGAAATAAGTCAGAGAAGGATTAGGAAGAATTAGGAATTCTTAATCTCAGGAAACAAACTAAGGGTTGCTGGAGTGGTGGGGGGTGGGAGGGATGGGATGGCTGGGTGATAGACACTGGGGAGGGTATGTGCTATGGTGAGCATTGTGAATTGTGTAAGACTGTTGAAAAACAGACCTGTACCTCTGAAACAAATAATACATTATATGTTAAAAAAAAGAAAAGAAGAAGAAGAAGAAGAAGATAGCAGGAAGGGAAGAATTAAGGAGGGAAATCAGAGGGGGAGACGAACCATGAGAGACTATGGACTCCGAGAAACAAACTGAGGGTTCTAGAGGAGAGGGGGTGTGGGATGGGTTAGCCTGGTGATGGGTATTAAGGAGGGCACGTACTTCATGGAACACTGGGTGTTATATGCAAACAATGAATCATGGAACACTACATCAAAAACTAATGATGTAATGTATGGTGATTAACATAAAATAATAAAAAAAAAGTTAACTGCTTCCAGCTTATGATGTACTTCTAGATACTTCTAAATACCAACCTACAATTTATTGTACTTGGGTACATACCAGGCAAATTAATCTGTCTTCAGTGCTCCAAGCCTAAAGAATAATCCCACCTCATGAATAAAATAGTAATGCACACCACACATTTCATATGAAATTAGAATATAAATAAAAGTCATATAAAATAGAACTTAACCTGTTAAGATTTTTGACTTGATTATACTAAAAATATATGATTGTTTACCTAAATAATTTCCTAAATCTTCACACTGGTATTTGTTCACATTCTTCGATTCTATAGCCAGAGACTGGAAATAGCATTTAAATAACAAATGTTTTGTTGAATGACTGATTAAATAAATTAATGGGTAAATGAATATTGCTGTGATATGCCTCAGACTCCTGGCAAAATTGAGAGATTTCAGAGCACCAATAAATATTGAAAGCACATTTATTTAACCTACTATGAAGCCATATGGAATTACTCCAATCATAATACTGAAAGAAAGTCTTATATTCACTTAGTTTTCTTCCTAATAACTTCCTTCTATGTTTAACTTAAAATTTTGGCCCCAAAGTAATTTGCTTTGAATTATTTCACCTCTTCTTTAATGGCACTCCCAGCAGCTACTCCTATACCAATTTATATTTTGAAAATAAACTATCCATGAGTTTGAAAGTGAAGGAATGTGTTAGAAGTTATTTGCAGAATTACGTGAAGTCCGCACAGTTGCATTTGTGTTAGTGTGCTTAAACTTTCATGCCTCTAACCCTTTCTATGGTGTCTGAAATTATTAAACCTTTGAACAGGTTTTATCAAGGAAAGAGAGCACCTGTCAACAGATCCACTAATACCTACCTTCCCAGTTCCAGATTCTCAAGTCAGTCACTGGCATGAAGAGATTATTTAGTGCTATCTGTCCCTGAGAACTTCTGTTGGCAGTTCTATGACAATTATGCTGTTTTGTAGTTTTAGCTATAAATGTACATATGCCTTATAAGACAATATTAGCTCCTGTTCTTTAGATGGTTATATTTTACTTCATCAAGCCATTTACATCCTCTCTCATCTAACATAATGTACCACATTTATTTATTTCTGTATTTTATCCATGGAAGTATATATGTTTACATCCCTTCTCATTAAATGTTTTATACAAGAATTTTATGTATGTCCATGATAAAGACCATGATGGTGATGATGATGATGGTGGGGATGAGAGTGATGATAAAGATGATGATTATGGTAAAGACAGTAGTGATGGTGTTTTTTGTTTCTGAGATTTAGTAAAGCAGGAATCATGATGTCACAGAAACAGTGTTATCCCAGGAGTTCAGATAACTTAATTTAAATCTCTTTACCATTACCTTGAGCAATTCGTTCAGCTACTTTTTTTTTTTTATTACATTCTCTTAAAGAACAGATATTCAACTAAGTAAACCTTACAGATCTTATTGCCTTTTTTCAGCAACTCATGAATCAGGGAGCATCCAATCCAACAGGTGGAAAGGAGCTCTGAAGAGCTATACAAGACAAGGGATTTTACAGGCAGAAAGAAGCGGGAACAAGGAAGTTATGGGGCAAAAGATTGAATTTGTTATTGCAAAGTTACTTTCCTCATAGGGCATGGCAGTGATGTACCAGGCAGGTTACCTATGTTAACCAGGTAATTCTTGATTGAGTGGTTTTAGATTCCATTTTTTGGAAGAGTCAAAACTGGAGCTAAGTTTTGGTTTGGTGATGTGGGGCTTAGTATAAGCGATTCCATTTAGAGCCTGTTGTCTTGTCCTTAACAATTCACAATTAATAAAATGTCAAAACACACTATTTTCTATGAACTCCCAGGATTATTATAAGGGTCAATATCCACCTGGCATGGAGAAACATTTGGAAAAGTTTAAAGCACCAAAAATGGAAGTGTTGGCTGTATTTCAGTATAATTCTTAGTGAAATCTCTAGTTGTGTTATATTTTATACTCAAATTCATAGAGATAATCAATAGAGTGCTAGTTTTGATGAAAGGGGACATTGCACAGTATGAACTATCTAGGGAAGAAAAACCTACTTGTTTACACGTTGGGATTATTTTCCTTTTGCATTATATTATGTTTAGTTTTTCAAAAATGTGCTACTCAACTCTTTGCTCATATAAACAAGGATTATGGAACCGAGCTAATATTCTTTAGTATTCAAATAAAATATTAATGAACATTTATATCATTATGAATTCAGTGCCAATTAACAACTGTAGAATTATGACTTCCTTTATACTTTAAAAAAATTCCTTGAGACCTTTGTATTTTCTCTTTTTATATCTCTATCCCTCATTTTCCCAGTCTGGTAATTCACAATGAGGCAGCCTCTAGAAATTACTCCCTGGATCCATTTAATTATATATGCTATCTATTATTAGCTACTGTAATTGGGGCTGATTAAAAAGAAACTGTGAGGGATGCCTGGGTGGCTCAGTCAGTTAAGTGTCTTCTTTCGGCTCAGGTCATGGTCTCAGGGTCCTGGGATGGAGTCCCACGTTGGGCTCCCTGCTCAGTGGTGAGTCTGTTTCTCCCTCTCTCTCTCTGCCCCCTCCCCGCCCCGTTCCTGTGCTTTCTCTCTCTCTCTTTCTCTCCCTTAAATAAATAAATAAAATTAAAATTAAAAATAAAAGGAAACCATGACATAGTTTATAAAAATGGTCATCTGACCTTACATATAATTCTTTGACTAGCCCATGTTTGCTAGTGAGAGCAGCACATATTTTTTGAAGTAGAGACCAAGAAATTATTCTCATGTATCTTTCCTTTTTTTCTAATTTTTATATTACACCAGTCTTCTAGATAGTACCATTTACCACCTTCTGGCCACCCAATACATGGGAAATGCAGTACATGACTTGGTGTACCATTTGCTGAAGATTTATACTTTCTGTCGTGTCAAAATAGCTGGGTCAATATATACATCATCAACAATATATATTTAATGAGAAAGGAAACATGCACATTCTTGTCTAAATTCATTTTGGATGGGTGTTGTTCTATGTAAAAGATTGCCTCTTCCCAAGTGATTGCACACATTGTTTCCTCAACAAAGTAACAACTTGGGCATAATGTTCCTCTGAAGAAAATACTTGTAAAAAAAAAAAAAGTACAATTACCTGTAAGAATGTAGTAGTGATTATATTTTACAAAAGCTATTTTAAAAAAGCTTATTTTATCAAAGAATTGCATGACATCTGAAAAATATGTCTTTAGAGGATATATAAAATATTTTAACACTTTGCTCACCATAGCACAGACTTGTACCTCTGAAACAAACAAACAAAAAGGGGGAGATGAACCATGGGAGACTATGGACTCTGAGAAACAAACTGAGGGTTCTAGAGGGGAGGGGGGTGGGGGGATGGGTTAGCCTGGTGATGGGTATTAAAGAGGGCACATTCTGCATGGAGCACTGGGTGTTATGCACAAACAATGAATCATGGAACACTACATCGAAAACTAATGATGTAATGTATGGTGATTAACATAACATAATAATAATTAAAAAAAGATTTTAACACTTTAAGTCACAAAGTAGTATGTGGCCTATTTTCTTTGGTGACCTCTAGAAGCTAAGCATGACCTTTGGCTGATAGCCAGCAAAGCAAGAGGTCTTCAGTCCTGCAACCTCAGGGGACTGAACTCTCTTAATAATCTCATTGAGCAAGGAAATGGAATCCCCACCAGAGCTTCCAGAAGTAAGTGCAACCCTGCCTACACCTCGACTTTTGCTCATTGAGATCCATGTTGGACCTATGACCTACAGTTCTGTAAGATAATAAACATGTGCTATTATCAGTCAATCTATTTGTGGTAATTTATGACAATAGCAATAGGAAACGAATCCACAGATACACAGAAACTGATGTGGGAGTTGTTGTAGACTGGATCAGAACATACTGATCTTAATCTTCTATCTTACATCAATTTAACTATAGAATTTGAGGATTTGAAATACTCCACTTCCTAGCCCCCCTTCCAGCTAAGTATGAGCAGACAACTCAATGCTGGCTGATGAGATGAATGTAGGTATCAGCAAGTGCTCTTTTGCTTCCATTTTCTTTCATTCCTGGAAGGTTGCAGATGTCATAT